GAAAGGTAAGCGGCACATTTGTGTGTGCATGGCCAGAGTTCCCACAGGAGGGAGAAATGAAGGAGATGGGATTGCAGTGTGGCCTTCCCTCATGAGGTTGCTCTTTTGATTTCTCTCTCTTTCTCTCTCTCTTTCTCCAGTGAGTGCTCATACCCTCTCACAAAATTAAAAACGAAACTACTAAAAATATATATAGTAAAGCAGTCATCTAAGGGCACATTTGTCAATATGAATAATCTAATTCTTAATATTTGATTTAATTGTATGTCTCAGCACTATGCAAAATTATTACCCTTACATTTTTCTGTTTATGATCGGCCCATTTGGAAGAAGTATGTCTGTTCACTTTTTCTTTGTGTTTTGTCTTTCTTCTAAAGTAGTTCCCGGGAATTCTAATAGCTGTGTACATAGAAACAAGAAGTATAGCAATACACAGGCACTTTTTAACGTCAACAACAGTAACATGTCATATTCTTTTGACCTTTAGTTGTATTGGCCCATGAATGCCCCCAGAGCTGCCTGATAAAGTAGAGGTCATTAATATTCTCTTTTTTCAATGGCAAGAAACTGGGTCACAAAGAGTGTCTTGAAGCATGATTTGTTTTGTTCTGTCATTCAGATTTACCCTTATGCCCACCATTTGCTCCCACCACAACAGAACAAGGAGACTGAGAACCTAGGATTTAAGCTCAGCAGAGCCTGTGTTATAACTCATTCTCTATCAGGTACCAGCTGTCTTTATTCTAAAATGGGGAAAATGTCAGTACAACAGTGTCTTTGTGCAGATTAAATGAGATAATAGATGCTAAGTCCCTTGCTCAATGCCTGCCTTATAGCAAATTCTCAATAAATTGTATCTATTATTATCAGTCCTTGCTTCTCAGCTGCCAGACATATTTAGGATATGATGAAACTATGCTAATTACCCCTATTATAAACTCCTGCCATGTAATTATGACAGACTATGAGCTCATCCTCTGTGTACTATTTAAGCAATTTGCCAAAGCAGTATTTCAAATCTGATTCATACTGAAGCCCACACAAGATCCATTCATATTTTAGCATAAAAGTTTGAAGTCATACAGCATGAATTCCTTCATCTGTAACTTTCTACTCTGCACTTCCATCCGTTAGCCCATTGGTTCAAAAGAAGGTAGTGTAGGGACCAGCAGTTAGCGTAATGGCTATGTCTGGTCTCCCATTTAGCCGACCGCAGTTCGAGTCCCAGACCCGGTAGCTTAAACTCACACGGGGCGCGTGTGGGTGCGTACCCAAGATCCCGAGAGGAGAATGGAGGAGAAGGGATTGTGGCATGGCCATCCTCCTTGGGTGGTGATTTCTCACTTTCTGTCTCCATGTCTCTCTCTGTCTGTCTGGTGAGTGCACACACCCTATAGCAAAAACCTCTCCAAAAAGAAAAAAAATATATAAGAAGGCAGTGTAGTCCAGAGCTGAAGAGTCCAACACTTGTAGCTTGTCTCCCTATTCTAATCTCATTTCTGTTACTCCCTTTTCTCTTGCCTCAGTATGGTACCTAAAATAAAGATGCTTACAGTTCTTAGTTAATGGGTTTACTTTGAGGTTTCAGCACATTAATATATGTAAAACTTTTTTGACAGTTCCTGGCATATGGCAAAGAGTATATAATTTTGTTAATGTTAGTTAATTGAAATTTATTAGATATCAGGTATATGCTAATATGGTCATGCTCTGAATTCAAACAAAAAGGTTATGATCCACATATAACTTCTACTCTCAGATGCTTAGCCTTTCATAGAGAGTTAGATATGCTGACATAAAATTAAAAGACCAAGTGTTAAGTACAATCAAAAATGATTTTTAAAATGTTTCAGAGAGGCAGTATGGTACACTATAGTAATGGAATAGTTTGAATGGGCTTTCATTATTTCCATTTTATGGAGAGAGACATCAAAACTCAGACTATGTGTTCATGTTAGTACTGCAAATTAAAGGAGGTACTTTACCTTACATTTTCTAACTACATTTCTAACAATGGACCCCAATCTTTCAATTACATCATTCTGTTTCTAGTTGTTTTTCCTTCATTTTTAAATTTCTCACTCAAAAATTTTTTATAGCTAGAGAGAAATAGAGGGGAGGAGAAAAGAGAAATATAGGTATTTTTGACAGGATCTTGTCATCGTAGTTCTTTGTCCCAGCCTTTGATTTAGCCAAGATCACAAGAGTACACCATCCCACCCAGGCTTTTCAGGTTGGTCTGGTATCTGAAACTGGCCCTCTCACGTGACCCCAGCCTCGTATGTCAGTGCCCTACCTTTTATGCCACCATGACTGGGCCACAAATTATTTACTCCCCCAAATCAGAATATAAACAAATAAACAAACAAACAACCTGAAAGGGAGTTCTCTCATCTTGTACCAAAACAACCAGCCTATCTACATTATATACACCATATACACAATTTATTCTAGCAAGAGTTCATACCCCTATGTAAGGTCTATTCTCTCTCAACATCTCAAGTACTTTGCTCCTAAATTTTTTTTTCACCTACCATATTGTTTTTTCTTTTGTGCATTGTTCCTGTCACCATACAAACATGCTGCAAATCATATCCACTCCAGCTTCTACCCTGTTTTTTTTTTCTTTGAAAAGCTTCTCCAAATCACTTATAGTCACTATCTCTACTTCCTCACCACCACTCATTCTCTTTTAAGCCCAGTATAATTAGTCTATTTTTCCACTTTCAGTGAAACTGCTTGTAAAGGTCATTTATGAGAGCTATGTGCCTACTACCCAATGGTTATTTTTCAGTCTTTGTTTTATACAAAAACAGAGATAAAAATATGAATAAATACATGGAGATTAGAGAGTCTTACAGGTTTCCAGGGGAAGTGCTAAGCATACAATCCTGATTTTATGAAACACTGAATTTGAGGAATACCATACTTTTCAAAAGTTGAAATTAGAGAGAAGTACTCCTGGGGTTTTGAGTTAGGGCAAGATATAGAGCCTTTGTAGAACAGAGGTTAATATGTATGGACCAGGCACAACGTTTGATCTGTTACTGTGTTCTTAAACAGAAATATTAGTGAGTGGGTGAGTTACAAAGAATAGAGATTCAGTCTGCTCATGATTCTAGTAACTGGAAAGTCCAGAGACATGAGCCAGAATCTGGATGGTCTGTGATCCTAAATAACAACATGGATAAGAGAAGCAGCAAGGAAGGTGGGCATGTGAAGTACAGGGACCTGTGGGCAGTTCTTAGTTTTATAACAACCCACTCTCATGGGAATGAACTCATTTCCACAAGAGCAAGAACTCACTTCCCGTTATGAGACAGCACTAACCTACTTGTGAGTGTGGTGACCCCATGATTCAAACACTAGCCACGAGGCCTCACTCTTAAAATTTCATTATCCTTCAGTGCCACCACATCAGGGACCCTAATTCCATCATGTGAACCTTTGTGGGCAAGTCATATCCAAACCTTATGAGCATGGAAAGCCAGAATGTGTCTACTGAGCAAGTTACTGTAACACTTTTCTTTGAAACACATGAGTCCATTCAGGATTTATTGGGGTCTTGTCTTAAAAAATATGCATCTGGGGACCAGCAGTTAGCGTAATGGCTATGTTGCTGAACTCCCATGTAGTTGACCATGGTTCAAGTCCCAGACCCAGCAGCTTAAACTCACTCTGGGTGTGTGTGCGTGCGTGCCCAAGATCCCGAGAGGAGAATGGAGGAGAAGGGATTGCAGCATGGCCATCCCACCTGGAGGTGGGGGGGTGATTTCTCACTTTCTGTCTCTCTGTCGCTCTCTTTCTGGTGAGCGCACATGCAGTATAGCAAAAACTTCTCAAAAAAAAAAAAAAAAGAATATGAATCTTAAAGAGCTACTGTTAAAACTGAGCTTAGATAATTTGACTGTTAACAGTTTGATGTATGTTATGGTATAGTATGTTTTGAGAGTCAAAGAATAATTTGATTTGCAAATAGAAGGTTCTAATTGATTTCTCAAGAAGATTCTTGTGTCTGTCATGTGAAAGAGATACAGAGTGACTGATCTGGCTACTCAGGTACTTAGGTAATCATTTAAGAATGTTTTCTCATCTTGACACTTAAACTCCTTTACAACTATGCCAGTCTACAATTTACATTTACATAAATCAGTATTTTTAGGTACATTCTTTTTTATATTGTATGATTTCTTATTTATGTTTAATCATTGCACATTGTTATAGAGTACAGTATGTTTTCTCAAAGCATGTCTGCAGTGTGTGTGTCAGTCAGGTCAAAGATATTACCATATACATCATTCTCAAAAGATAGCTTTCCATTCTTGTGTCAAATTTTTTTTTGTATTGTTTTGTTTTGTTTTTCCCTGAGTCCCTTCAATCCACCACTTACTAATCACCACCTTACAGTCTCTGGTATCTACGATTAGGTGTATCCTTGAGTGTGCATCCTCTTTGCTTGGTACTGTGCCTCTTTGATTATATACCTAGCATACTCTTTGTGGTGGAAACATGCTGTGACTCGAATGAATAATTGTGACCAATTGTTGCAGGATTCCTCTCATATGAGTCTTCAGGAACATTCCTGAAAACCCAAAAGTGACTCTTGAGAATTGAAGCAAAGAAATAGTCTCTGGGTTTTATCATTTATCCCATAGAAAAGACTTCTAGTCTACTTTATGATTATTATCTTATTTAAGATCTTATGGAAGGGTCGAAACTGAAGATTAAAAAAGATGAGAGCACCTGTTAGATATTGGGACTTTGTCAGCAGTTGTCAATGGTCACTGACCTACCTACCAGCAGAGAAAGATGGAAGGAAGGAAAACTCTAAAAGACTAATAACAGCACATTTGTCACACTTGCCTTTCTAATGTGCATTACCTATCATATTGCTCATTAATCAAGTTGCGGATGGGGGCCAGCAGGTGGTGTACTTGTTAAGGTGCTGGACTCCAACATGGCTGACCATGGTTCAGGTCCCAGACTTGGAGGCTTGAAACTCACTTACCTGGCAGGGGATATACCATGATCACAAAAGTGGTTTTCCCAGGCCAAGGCTTATCCATTGCACTCCAGATGTGCTCACCTCTGCAATTTCCGCTAATGTGGGAAACTCAACTGCATAATTGTGGTGTGGGGGATTGCATTTATAATTTCCACCGGGAAAAAAAAAGGAGCTCACACTGGGAAAAAGTGTGTGCATGTCCTAAATCCCAAGAGGACAATGGAGGAAAAGGGATTGTGGCATGGCCATCCCCCTGGGGCGTGATTTCTCACTTTCACGATCTCTGTCTCTCTGGTGACTGTTTATGTCCTATGGCAGCTAATCTCTTTAAATAAATAAATAAATAAATTTGCATGTGACATCTTTTCTTTCTTTCTTTTTTTTTTTTTGAGGTTTTTCATTATAGGGCACTTGCGCTCGCCAGACAGACAGAGAAAGACAGAGAGACAGAAAGCGAGAAATCACCCCCCAGGGGGGATGGTCACGCCGCAATCCCTTCTCCTCCATTCTCCTCTTGGGATCTTGGGCACGCACGCACATGCACCCGGCATGAGTTTTAAGCCTATATTTCTTCTCCCCATTCTCCTTCTTCTCTAGTACTTCCCTCGTGCTAACCCTTCCAAGAACTCTGAAGAAGGTTTGACATTTAGCAGATGCTGAAGAAGTACAAAGAATTTCAATGTGAACTGCGGTCGGCTACCTGGGAGTCCAGTGACATAGCCATTACGCTAACTGCTGGTTCCCTTAATATTTTCTTGATGATTCAACCTTATCATTTTTATCAGCTATTTTAATTATTATGCTATAATACCTTGAAGTCCTTAGAATTTGGCCAAATTGTTTTATTTCACTCCAAAATAAGTAGTTTCTAAAAGTCTTAATGTAGTCTGAGAAATTGCAGAAATAATCAAAACTCATAGAAATATGAAATGTATTTTAGAAAGAGTTTCATAAAAATGAATATAATTTTAAAGCAGACAAATATCATGGCTTGAGGAGTTATGGACTGCATATCTGGAAACTTAGTTTAAGATGAAGATTTTATTTACTAGCAATGGCAGAGAAATGATCTTTGTTCTCTCTATGCATTTGAATACATAATGTTGGAAAAACCAAGAAGGCTCTTTTGGGTTATCAGCATGTAGTGTGATCTGTCTTGGTCAAGAGCCAGTACAGCTGTTACTATCTTACAGTAGTTTGAAAATCACTGCCCAATTTCTACAAATACCTATTATTTTCATGCTATTCTAGCTGGATTTGCTGTAATAAGCCATGTAAACTAAAAGTATTATCAACAAATGTGCACATTGGATGATTAATGTAACTGCTATATTTTAACGTTCTTTTCTACTCTTCTGTAGCTTAAGAAGAAGTAGCTGGCACTGTTTTATTTTGCCAGTGGTAGGCTGTATTCACTGCAGGATGGTAAGTTAATGAAAGAAAGTACACATCTTTGTACTTTTGCTATTGCTGTGCTTTGTTTAAAGCTTCGTATTTATGCAGCAGTTGTTCATGGTATCCTGACCATCTCTATCTGAGGGAAATATTGGTGCTCTGAGTTAACATTTCAACATGTAATAAGCAATCTCTGAGAGCAACTGCATGCATTATCTTTGCTCATATTATTTCATAGCTTATCATGAATACAAATGTTGTGAATATAATATCTAATTTATACTTTCCTGTGATAACTTTTTTTTTTTTTTTTTGCTATAGGGCACATGCGTTCACCAGCAGGACAGAGAGAGACAGACAGAAAGCGAGAAATCACCCCCCAGGGGAGATGGCACGCCACAATCCCTTCTCCTCCATTCTCCTCTTGGAATCTTGGGCACGCACGCACACGCGCCCGGTGTGAGTTTAAGCCACCGAGTCTGAGACTCAAACCGCGGCCGACTACCTGGGAGTCCAGTAACATAGCCATTACGCTAACTGCTGGTCCCTTGTGATAACTTTCTATTCTTGCCTGTAAATGCTGTTTTTGTTATACATTATTTTGATTCTTCATAAAATTGTTACTGTTTATTACCTACTGCTATAGTTGTGGTGTTCCCCAGAATTCACATGTTGAGATGTGATGGCAATGGGATTAAGAGAGTTAAAGCGTTTTAATTTTGTGTCGAAGGATAACGTCTTTGGAAAAGATTAGTGGTTGGGTGGTTAGGAAGGGGTCCCCAGTGACTTAGTCCCAGTGGGTTTATACAGGGAGGAAACGAGGTAGGCAGAGGCCCGCATAGATACAGATCATGCTCTGCTCTGTCCAAAGTTCTTCCTCCTGCCATTATGTGAAACTTTTGGCAGTCACTAGAATTATGAGTCAAATAAGACTCTATTTTATAACTTACCCTGTCTTGGCTATTTCTGTAGCAATGCAATAGCAGACTAATATATCTATAATTATTGGAGAAAACAATTATTATTTGTCATGGTGAAATAGTCAACAGTCCACCAAATTTGTCATTATTCCCTTTAGTAATGTTTCTTCAAAAATATCTGGTCAAAATAGCACCAGTTCAAAACTATAAACATCCTTATGAGTTTCACAATTTATAGGAATAAAAATTACCTGACAATCCAGTCTTTGGAAGTAAATAAGACACTTTAATAGAAACATTATATTTTATCTATCAATGAAATAATAATTTAACCTTGCAGTATATCTTAAAGCACTGATTTACTTTAAAACAAACAAATAAACAAACAACAACAACAACAAATCCATGGCTTGCTGGTGGCATGATGGTTGAGATGACTGAATCCCATAAGGCCGACTGCACAGTTGAATCCCAGATCTGCAAGCTTGAAAAACATGCCAGAGGCATATGTGTGGGTGCCCAAAGTCCTAAAAGGAGAGAGAAGTGAAAGAGAAGACATTTCAGTGTGACTATTCTTCATGGGGGGTGCTTTTTCACCTTCCCACTCCTCTTTCTCTCTTTCTCTGAAGTGTGCTCCCTCTGGCAAAATTAAAACAAGAAAAAGTCTGCTGACCAAAAAATATATAACATCTGTAAAAGTATGAGTCTATATTTTTGTTCAGATACAATTTCAAAACAGGTTATCTTGAATCAGCTTTTTTTTTTTTTTTTTTTTTTAAGAAAATTAATGGTCATTCTCTGTACAATCAAATGATTCTGTAATATGCCCAAGTCAACATTTAAAATGACAACATAAATGAAACACTTCCAAGCCTGGTTGTTAAAGAATGCCATATATTAAGATGAAATCTTACTGGGGAGCCTGACTAGTGTCTGGAGCTACAGTAGATCTAAATATTTTAGTGTACATCACAAATATTAAAAACACTTTCTTTGAACCCACACAACCTATAGGTTAAGAAAGTTCTATATTTAGCTAAAAAAGTAAACCATAGGAAGTTTGCCAAAAGAAAAAGCAAAGCAAAGAGTGAATATGATAATCAAAGAGTAGACTTAAAAGGTTGAAGTATATAACTCTCTCCTTGTTTTATCTTCATGAAAATGCATGTTGGCATCATTGGAAGACACTGTACAGACCCAATACCTACTGCTTGACATTTGGCTTCAGAGTAGTAAACAGAACTGTCTCTCAATTTCCCTTAGTCTTCTAACCTTAAATATCTCAACCACCCCACCACAGGAATCATATTTTTAAAAGTCATAAGGACAAAAGAACACATCATAAAAAGATGTCTTGAATCCCTCCTTTATCCTCCACCCCATCACTTTCTTCTCATCAGTCAAGTCTACTTAATTTAAAACTCCATCTAAGCAGCCATTTCTGACATGAGTTAATGCCTGCAGGTGCCGATGTACTGTATGTTTAAGCGATTCTGGATTTATCGAAAATATTTTGTGAAATAGTGATTTGTAATTTTTTAATATTGAAAATGCTACCTCTTTTAAATAAAATTCCAAGCAGAACTCCATTATGTAAAGCATATGAAAGCAGATATACCATGATTGAATTAGAGATGGTGATTTGGAACACCTTGGCAGGAACTGTTGGGCTCCCTGAAAGTACGTAAAAGCCATCAGGTAGTATGGAGGGGGTGGCATGGTATATAGGTGAGGAGAATGGCTGGAGTCTCTGGATCTGGATTGCCTGGTTTTAGATCCCAGCTCTGCCATTTTCTAACTGTGCTACCACCTAAGTCATCCAACTTCTCTGGGTTTTAGTTTCTTCATTTGTAATGTGGGGTTGTTGGGAAGAATAAGTGAGTTAAAATTTGTGAAGCATTTGAGATAGACATATCCACATGTCTGCTAAAAACTGTCTTCCTTAATTTATTCATTGTATTGTTCTTTGAAATGAGCAGTATGAATATCCTAATAGCTTCATTGCCTAGAAAAAGTTCCTGACTAGGATGTCATTTCTAAATCTGCTACTTACTGGCTGGTTCATCTTAGAAGGATCACTCACCTCAGGGATTTGAGTCTTGGACTTGTATGTGTCATGTATTTAAATGTGTGTGTGTGTGTGTGTGTGTGTGTGTGTGTGTGTGTGCTAAGTCATGTGTGTGCTACTACATTCCTTTTTTGAGACTAGTAAGACTTTTTAAATAACTGTAAAATAATTACTTATAATTTAGGGTCAATTTCTCAATCTGCTTTCCTTTAACTTTCTCTTTATATTAATTCAATCAATAGCTAGACTAATATTGATTTATACTCAATCAAAAAAAAAAAAATCCTAAGACATTTTCAGTAGCTTCCAGTAACTGCAGTTTTTCACTCAGTCTAGAATAGAAGATATCCAAGCAATAATCCTTTACTGACAAAGATGTCTTTTCTATCTCTATGTTTGAAGTTTGAATAAGCTATTATAAATCAGACAGTATTAAAACATAGGAAGCGATCATAGTACTAGTTTTTATTATATATGTTTTTGATTACAATCTATTAACTACTTATTGAAATTTAAATATGGCTAACAGAGGTGAAGGAGATGGTGTCCATCATGCACAAATGCCTGCTCATCATTACTAATTTATCTGCCATGCTGGAAATGTCTCTTCTTCCTAGCTAGCAACTCTGACTATTTGAGATCTATGCCTGGCTTAGAATGTAGATTTCAGTTTTGACAAAAACACAGCCTATGGTGGGGTGTAATATTTCTGTCATACGAGAGCGAAATCAGGCCTTTAACAGCATTTCTTTCTGAGAGAAATTACAAGAAT